AATGATGTGCATATAAAGGCTTTAAGTATCTTAAATATATAAAAGACAATTTTGTTCTTTTAGCTCAATGTGTACCCATAATTTTAAACCTCAAACTAGGAATCACCCCTCTTGATCTAAATTTTAAATAATGTCCACAATTATGAACACTTGCACATTTTTGTTCTCTGTGGCAGTGTTTCAGACTTAAGTATTATTAAGGACCCCAGAATTAATGTACCAATGTTAGTTTGCATCAGAACATGCCTCCATCAAGCAACATTTTCAAATTTGCTGCTGTTCTAGAGGCAGAGCGGGTGAGTCATATGCCTTGGGGAATGCTAAATAAAACCCTACACTACATGCTAATCTCACCCACTCTAGCAGATACCTCAAAAAATGTTATGTGGCTACAGATAAGATGAGAACTGACAGAAAATGCTGCAGATTAAAAGTGATATGATCTGTAAGAAAAATCTTTTAACCTCTGAACTATGGAAAGAACATAGCAATGAACAGTGGTGAATCACTGTACTTCAACAAGTTCATCTCTTAAGCTCCTTTTTATGAACTAACACTTAATTAATAGTGCTCATTTGTGCAATTTGCTTTCCATTATGGAAACCATCCACAATTTGACTGTTCCAAATAATTGCTTGGAGTGATGGCTTAAGACTCATGAAGGCACTTCAGTGTATCACTTGAATGCATTTACTAGGAAGAAATATTGGTACACACAAACACAAAAATAATGTAAGAGGCCATCATTTTGATCTACACATGACAGTACAAAATCATTCCATCACTGCTCACTGAGACAATGCTGTAAAGGCAATGGAAAGGGAACACAATTTACTTGTTTCTGATTGTCGTGCAGTTCACCTGGTAGAAGAGCATTTAACAAGAGGAACTTGGCTCAAAAGCAGTGGACAGAAGGAAGAACTGCAGACAATGAGATGAGTTCACTGCTTTGAACATGGCTTAATTTTTCTTAGAAGAAGAAATGGATGGTTTAGAACATGAACCTAAACTATGAAGGAATACTCTAAAATTTCGCAGCAAATCGTTAAAGGTTCATAAACTCTCAAATTTTATGCCATGGGACTGTAGGTGGGTGTAACACACTTGGAGAAACAAGCCCCTGTGATGCTGACTTCACATCTTTGGTTTATATAAGAAGTTTCCTGCAAGAAGGATACACAGCCTTTGCTGCCCAGAAGCTCCTTTCATCAGCTTCTCTTTGCAATGGAAAGTGTTGTGCTTTTGTACTCTAGAGCCATGACCATGGTTGCTACTGGAATGGCAGTCATTAGCTGAAAAATCCCTCCCTGATCAGAGCAATTTCTGAAAGCCTTTTAAGGCTGATTCCCCATTATAGGAACTGTGACAGTTTACAACAACTCAAGATCTCACTCTGGCGCACAGCAAATTTCTTTTCTCCTAATCTTTCCATTCATTTTGATGGGCAAAAAGGTGATTTAGTTCTGTCAATGCAGGATTCTATGTTAACATGAATTTGGAAACACTTCAAAGAATGAACTAATGTACAAAGAAGACAAAATGGTCTTTGCTTATCTGATGTGAATACAGAAGAAATTAACACAAGACATGAAAGAGAAAACAGGGTAAAAGCTTATTCAATTAAGATTTGTGGATTTATACCTACTTTTTTAAACCTGGTGAAAATGTAATCTATTAGCGGCAATGCAGATTGGCTGGAAAATTATGCAAATGATTGCAAAACCAGTTAAATTACACACCAAACAGATTTAAATGCTTCTAAAGATTTTATCTGAACCCTTGTAAAATCATAGAAAATTTTTAAAACTGAAAATTCTTTTTTCGTATCTTTCCCAGACATTTAAAAGGACAAGCCAGTGTATTAACTTACTTCACTAGTGCTTTTCATGGCATAAAAAATTGTACAGCAAAGAGGGCACATAGTTTTTTTTTTTTTTTGTATGGTTGTTTCCTGTTCAAGTTACAGGAAGGATAAAAAAAAGGGATGGCAAAGAGGGTATATCCACTAGCAGCTGGTCTTTCCCTTGATCGTCTTCTTCACAAAGACCAAAACAGATAGCTTTTATGAGCCTATTTTGCTTTGACTGTCATACTCCTCTTGTTCCAAAATCTACCACCAGTATAACAGTTTTGGCCAACCTTCAGCCCTCTCATTTGTGGGTTATATTAACATTTCATTTGATCTGCATCCATCTCATCTACAGACTCCAAACTCCACCAGGCAGGGATTGACCCTCCTTGGATGTTTTATAGTACCTGGCAAAGTACACTCAACTTCTGACTGTCCATTTTGGTAAACCTACAGGTACCATGCTGAGACACCCAGGCTAGGCCAAAGCTGGCTCAAGGCTTCTTGTGAACTGAGGTAAAGCCAAATTTCTCATCTGCAGTCAGACAGCAACTTGTGGGATCACAGTGTCAGTTCCAGTTTGCACCAAGCAGTTTCATCCTTCTCCTTTCCCCTTACCTGCCACAACTTTCAAAGTTTTCCAGTTTGCAAAGCAATGAACTTTGCCAAGGCCCTGGCAAGAGCAGTAGCCAATAGTTGTGATAACACTGTAATAACTGGAATATATTTTACCACTGCTGTTGAGGGAAGATAAGTTTCTCACATCTGTATGGAATGTACTCTGGAGCACTGCTGATGTTGCGTGGTATTTGAACGAATTGTTGGTCTGGAGTTGTCTTCAGAGACAGTACCAAGCCTATTACCTGTAAATACTGCTTTTCCTACTCCAGCACTTCCAACAAGTAAGAATGTTTTGCCTTTTATTACAAGTAAATCAATGAAGTACTGGAAATGTACAGTCTAAAATGGGTACAACAAAGATTGACTAAAATTGAAAAGGCAAAAAAAGCTCATCAAACACTTGCACATCACAGTTTACTTTTAAAAGCAAACTGTAATTTCTGTCTCTCTCTCTGGCTAGGGCTAAATTCTAAAAAGTGATGAAGCAGGATACATAATTCTTTTACTCTCAAAGAATTGATAAAATAAATTGCTTTACCTTTTACACAGTATTTCTACTTGAAAATTTTTATTTAACTTCTTCTAATAGGAAACTTTTGAAATCTGGTTGTAGCTGGAGTGCATTTGTTCCACCTCAGGCTTTACAGAACACCAGTCTCCCTATAACCATTAGAGAAGCAAAGACTGGTGAAAGATGTAGGTGTACATCTTTCTGGTGAAAGATGGAGGATTAATTTCTCAATTATTTCAATTTAATTTTTGGCCTGGCTTTCAACTTACCTAAAACCATTTGGACAAAGAGTTGGCAATAAACAGCTTTACTTACTATGAGCACCTAAAAGCTTGCTTGTCTGATAAATCTTTTTCAAGCTCTTCAATTGCCTGATAAATATTTCTTTTCCAAGCTCTGTATTTTCCTGTCAATTATTAACCCTCAAAGACAACAGCAGAGTTGATAATGGAGTAGAACATCAGATACATGTTTCTACGTCCATAGACTTCTAATCTCCCCAGGAAAATTCCTACTCACCTAAGCATTAAAAAGATGTACAATGCAAGTTAATGCAATCAAAACACCATTAATCACTTGAGAATATCCTATGCAGAATATAATGAAAAAAAGTGCAAAAATAACCATACCTTCAAACTGAGGTGATTGCAACTACAGCTCAAGTTTTCCATCCTCCACTGACAAGTATATATCATCCTATTACACCTTCTACAATTTGTCTTCCACAAATACAACTCTAACTTTCTAAATTGTTCAAAAGCCTCATAGAAGGGTGATGAAGTGGTTTGCTTCCTCTAGATCTCATTTTACACATTGTTTGTGTGAAGCTAATTTAACTGGCAAAAAAATTATCTGTGCATAAATGTGGCCATAGGAAAATGTTAAGGCTTCACTTTACTGTGCACAGCTGCTGTGAGCATTATTTTCAATGATTTAAATTAACTTGGAGCCTGAGTTTCTCTTACTATGGATAAAAGGTACCCCACACAGAAGTTGGTAGAGGCCCCAAAAAGGCTGAAATCCTGTGCTGGAAGCCTGTGGTAGGGCAGATTTCTGGGAGGGCCTGTGAACCTGAATAGAGAGGAGCCCACTCTGGAGCAGTTTATGAAGATCTGTAGCCTGAGGAAAGGACTCAAACTGGAAAATTCATGGAGGCCTGTCTGCCATGGGAGGGACCCTGTGATGGAGCAGGGGAACAGTGTGAGGAGTACTTCCCCTGAGAGGGAAGGAGGAGCAGAGAACGCATGAGCTGACTGCAGCCTCATTTCCCATCCGCCTGTGCTAATGGGATGAAGAGGGAGAGAAAATTGGGAGTGAAGTTGAATTGGGAAGGAGGGAGGAGTGGAAGGAAGGTATTTTTAAGATTTTTGGGTTTTTTTTGACACTACCCTACTCTGATTTGATTGGCAATAAATAAAACTAATTTCCCCAAGCTGAGTCTGTTATGCCTATGACAGTGTGCTGAGTATTTGATTCCCCCATCTTTATCTTGACCCAAGAGTCTTTTCATCATATTTTCTTCTCCACTGTCCAGCTGATGAGGGGGAGCAGCAGTGGCTTGGTGGACGCCTGGCATTCAACCAGGCTCAGCCCTCCACACTACTGCTCTGATTAAGCAATACATGTAAGAGAAGAAAAACTCGACTGATGACAAAATTCTCTGAAATGTCTATTTGAGGATATATGTGGCCACCAAATAAATAATAAATTAACAGAATAAAAATTCAGAAGGAAGACTTAGTATAAATAATGGAGTTTGTTCCAATTAATCTTCAAACTGGATGTTTAAAATGCCAACTAATATCATCAGATACTTACAGCTTCTACTCCGGGTCCTGGGGTTTTGGGTAATTGGGTATTGTAGCTGGGGCAGCAGCTCTTAAAGGTGTACCTCAAATAGCAGCCACATTTACAAGCAAAGAATGTGTGCCTATGACTCTGTCAGGGTCACAGCCTAGGAATCATCAGTAAACTTTTCAGCAAAAGAAAGTTAAGATATGCCATTTAACAGGAACATGATCAAGGCAATCATGTTTATTACAGCCCCAAAGAGGATTATCTGCAACACAATGCATACACTATTCCTTAAACAAAATAAACAAACTCTGAACATGCCTTACAGATTTTGTACCAGAATCACAGAGGGTGACAAATTCAAATGGTTTTACTTGATCTAGTATGAGTTTGTTAGAGTTTAACTGATTTAAAAGGTGGCTAGTGTGCTTTGCTGATGTTAGTTCTCCTGAAAGCAGACAAAAGCAGAGGAGGGGAAAATCTCTCTCAAGGTCAATGGAAATAATCAGAAGATGATTCAGAGCAGGAGTCTAAATTTAGGTGCTCCAAAATGTTTCTTGAAAAAGCCACTTCCTGTTTCTCAGATAAAGTTAGATTATATGGCTCACCCCACCAGGCCCCTTGCTGAGTAACCAGAGGATTACTACGGTTGAAGTTTCTAAGACAGGAAAGCATAAAACTCCAATCACTTTCCAATGATTACATTTAGATCTTAGATTTGGATTTCATTACATTACAGCATTTCAGAGAGCCCACAAAATTGGCTTAGCTGTATAATCAATAAGAAGGAAAGAAGTCTGTATCCTACTGTGCTTAGACTGACTGATTTAGATTTCTGACATTAACCTTCCATCAATGCCTTGTGAAGGCGGACCTAGAACAGAAGCTAGACAGAGTTAAAGAATAAAGTAGGTATTTATTAAAAGGCCTTAATGGACACACCTTGGGCAGTTCAAGAACCCAGCCAGGACTACACCCAAGATGGACCCAAAATGGTCACAAAATGGATGACTAGTCACAAAGTGTCACACTTCTATACGTTATGGTCCATTAGCATATTGGATTTAATTGTCCAATTATAACTTTAGGTTATGAAGTTCCATCCTTGCTTTTCTCTCTTCATTCCACTATTGTTTATGCTCTTGGGCCCAAAATTGGTTGTCCTTGGTCCCAAGCTAGGAATGGAATTGTTTTGTCTAGCTACTCTATGAAGAGAGCTTACCATCCCTCAATGTGAAGCTCAGAACCACACACAAAAGCAGCACAGAATCTGAAAAATATAAAAGCTAAAACTTAAGGCATCACAAAAGTACAGCGATGCAAGGACTTCAATAATGGAATTTTAAGTCTATTTTACTGAGAGACTTTCCAAATACCAGTTTCAATAATCTCATCATTGATATCTTGAGTTACATCAGCTCACATCTAGGGGCACAATCATCATTACAGTATCCATAGGCTAATTTAAGGCTCTTTTCTGTGCCAAACAGTCAAGACAAAGTGTTAATTAGATTTTAAATATTACTTAGCAATAGTGAAAACCAAAGAAATTATAAGAATAAAAGAAAAAGGAATGCAACTCTGCAAAGCTGTCTTCAGAAAAATAGAGGAAGAAGAAAATGGGAAAACAGGTAAAGGGAAAGCCACTGTAACTGTGTCTCAATGGCTCACCTTGTTAGCATCCATAACAGTGTTAGGGACTCAGTCTACACAGGATCTATATCCCTATTTAAAACAAACCTTTTTGGCCCCTCATGGGTAACATTGGCTTGTCTTCTCAGAGGAGACAACAGGAGAACTGCAAATTATATTTCAATATAATCTTATCACTTATCACTTAAGTGCTTAAACAACATTTTACTGCAATTAAAACTTCAGAAGATGACACTTCACTGAAACAAGAAGCTTTGTAACATCAAACCCATGTTTTCCTCCTTTGTGTGTTTATTAGGTGGTTATTTAAAATAACAAAAAATTCAGTGAACATTCAATACAGCAAAATGCTGCATTTTATGCAACAATGACCTATTTCTGTTTTGATTACAGGAGAACTGGCCTTTAGTCTTCATGATATGGGAGATACTGTGGGTCTGGGAAGAAAATAACAGGCCCTTCAAGACAACTGGATCAGAATTGTGCAGGCTAATACTTCCTGTCTACCAGCATCCTGCCGTGCCCTCCAGCCTTTCCAGAACCTCCAGTGCTGTGCAGCCATGTCTCGTTGCACCAAAACCTCAGAAAAATGGAAGAATTCTATCATTTACATGTTGTCTTAATTCTGGTATTGTCTATTTTGGATGGAGAATGACACCCTAGCAAAAACATGTGTTTCTTGCCATCTTTCCACACTAAGATTTCCTGGTGTATAAAACCACACAGTTCATCATCTGTTGGAACTTCTGCATTAATTAATGGGCATTTATTTTGTGTTCACATACATGTGATGAAGGACTTTCAGAACCTGAAGGGAAGGAGCAGGCTGAATGTTAGTGACGGAGAAGAAAATCTGTGCAGCTGCCAACATTTAGTAGCATAAATTGGCAAGCATTATGTATTAGAATTATTTGTCTAGTATGTTGTCAGGAAATTTCATGATGTCTGTCTAGAAGTCTAATTAAAACATCCTGCTTCTCCTTCCAGAACAAAGTTTTACTTAGTCTATCTGTCAAATTGAATGTTCATTACTCCATGTCATGATTAACTGTCCTTTGGGACATGGAAAAGACACATAAAATGTAGAATTTGCTTGCAACATTTGAGCTTTCTATTGCTCATCATGTGGCTGACCGAGTCGCCTCAGCAGTGTGTTATTACCCTGCAGCCTCAGGCAAAGGCAGCATGAAGAATATTTTATGCAAGAGCTGTGGCAGTTTCTTTACAAGGTGAGATGGAAAACATGCTGCATTGCAAGGAAGGTCCCTTACCCTCTCCGTTCCCTGCAATTCCACCGACAAACACAGAGCGACACACTGCTGGCTGCTCCTCCAGCTGAGCATCTTACCACACAGACACGACCCACAGTGAGCACCTCTCCTCTCCTATTGTAGTTCTTATCACAGAGACACAATTATTTACAAGACTTTTTTTCTCCCTCCTCATTCTTATTCCTTTTAATAAGAAAAAATAAGCTTGCAATTTCTTGGCGGATTTGCCTCAGCAAAGCTAATGCTGCATCAAGCAGCACAGTCTCTCAGAAAATGTTAAGAGAGTTAGTGCAAAGGAATTAAAGCAGTTACCTCAGCAAGTGAGAACAAATCCTATTCTGCCAGATGACCACACAGTCCAGCAGGACTGTGAAAATCCAAGGATACAGAACAGTCATCACAATTTTGCCACTGCATTAGTAGAGTGGATTCTGCAATCAGTTGTACAGTTGTAATTCAGAAAAATACAGTCAGTCTCCTAAAGTAATACATTGCTTCCAAAGAAATAGTTGTATGAGTCACAGAATAGAAATAGCTTGGCTGCTTGTAGATTTCTGTTTTAGTGAAGAGTATTCACTCTGATTTGCCTAAGCCTAACAGGAAAAAGTTAATGATCCTCAGTTCTTGTCTTCTGATTTACCCAGTTAGCAGGAAACAAAATACTCTGTAGAAGGCTGATTGTAAAGTTCATAATACCCTGAGACATACCTTATTTGGTCTGTATACTAACCAGTTTTTCTATATTTTACATTTTCACCCTCTCTGTAATTAAAATAAATTACTGCTTAGATTCAGCTTATGGGCAACTAATTCTTGTGAATATACATGCATGCATACATGTACCTGCATGCATTTAATGTGTATAGCACAACGTGCACTATACCACACATAAAAGCCAGAGCACACAAAAGTCACACGTAGCCATGCACATTCCAAATCCACACCTTCTTATTTAGATGTTTTTGTTCCCTTACTCTTCTTACCTCACTATAAATATCTGACCAACAATGAATTTGCTACCAAATACAAATTCTTCTTACTGTGCACAAACAAACATTTTTGTCACTCTAGATTGTCACTGTACACAGCTTTTCCAAACAGGACACACATTTCCCTATGAACATATTTATTACACTGAAGAATATTACTGCTGTGATGAAATGCTTTTGAAATACTGAGTCATTGAGAGACACTTTATCAGTGCTTTAACAGACTCAAAAATAATCTTTGTGTCTAATACAACCAACCCATTGGCAATTATCTTGATCAAAAATCTTAAGGGAAGTAATTAAAGACAATGAATTAATTTACTTTGAGAATAAAGTTCTCTTCTGGCTGCAAGTACAGCTCCAGGGTAGATTGTTTAACCATCTGCTCAAAGTGTAGGTTCCTCATCCTCAGAACATCCAGAGACGGAAACAGGTCACTGATCACGCCTGTGAAAATTGGGATATCATCTGTCACTATTTTATGCAAATTGAAGTCTCTTAAGCTCAAATAAGCACATGGAAAAGGAGGGTAAACAATGTATCACAAGAACATTAAATAATTTTTTTAGGAGTCTGTTTTTATTCAAAGGCAAAACACCAGAAACATATTTTACCCAATGCTCAGGTCTGTTCTTCTCTCCTTGTTTCAGGGACCCAGCAATTACTAAAACTGACTTCAGTTCCCTGTCATAGTAGCCCTACAAAAACATTTTTACTAGTCATGCTAGCACATGAAATAAAACTAAGAGGCAATGTTTATGAAGAAAATAATCATTTTACACACAGAGTAAAACAAGACATTTTTATTCACTTGTAGACTTTCAGTGGCTTTTGGTCAGTATTAAAGGTTGACTAAAAAAAATAAAAAGCTAAATGAGATATCTGTATATCTAATTGATTTTCAGTATTCCAGCATTTGGTTCCCTATTCTTAACTGCTTATCAGCTGGGCAAAGTTTGAAAACATATTCTGCAGCCACACCTAGGAATCCAATATAAATAAAGCCTATTAGTATTATCAATTCCCCCAACACAAAAAAAAAGGGAAAAAACAAACAACCCTTCCCCCCTCCCAAAAAAAAAAAAAAAACAACCCCAAAACAACAAGAAAACTGGAAGCAAATTCACAACTCAAAAATATACCAGTTGAAGTTGACAGATGCCATGCCTCTATCCTCTTCCATGACAGTGGTAACTCTGTAAGTGTGAATTAAATGCACTAAATACAGCACAAGGAATAATTAAAAAAAAAAAAAAGTAATTTCCAAATTCAGGACAGTTCATGATCAGTAAGAAAAAAAAAAATTATGAGGTAATAAAGATGCCTAATATCTGTACTGCACTGAAAAGGAGTTTGCACATTTTAGAAATGATACATCTGGGCAAAGAAGTTAAACAGAGTTGATAATGAAACCACAGAATTTAGGAATATACTGCTCTTAATAAGATTTTGGTTAGATTTAGGCGAGTTTTTTGTGTGTATGTGTTTTGTTTTCTTTTTTTTTGTTTCTTGCGTATGGTTTTTTTTCCAATTTTTTTTTGTTTTGTTTTTTTTTTTGTTTTAGCTGTCTGAAAGGGTGTTAAAGAGTGAAAGCTGTTGAAAGGGTGTTAAGATATGCATCTTAAAAGCAGCCTGGTGTGTGGCTTGTCCAGTGTACAAGGACTTCCTTCGCATGGTACGACACATCCAAAAGTCCCTTCACAACATATGCTCTGACTGATAACCCTGCTCTGCAGCAGGCTGAGGATCCTTTCCATAGGCTAGGATCCTAGTGCTCCAAAGGTACATTTAAAGTTCTAAAAGTCCCAACACTGGAGCAACACTCTCAGAACTCTCTGAACAGCTATATATTTTATGCAGAAGCCCAGAATTTTTTCTCAGAGGTATTTGATTTCTCCCATTTCCATTAAAAGTAAACCAAATGAGATTTAAGAAGTAAACAAAGAACATTCTAGATTTTGCTTCAAACAATAATGTTAATATTATTATTGCAACTATGATTAATACTGAAGTGGCAAACAATGGCATAAATTACTTCTTTCAATTCAGAACATGCCTCCAGGACAAAGTAATCATTAAACTCAAGGAATCCTAGTTCTAGTGAAGCAAACAGTATTAATTATCTTTAGATATGCACAATTTAATTTCATTATCTCTAGAAAATTGCAAGAATGTGTCAGGAAATCTTCAGGATATTTAGACATAATTTCAAAATTATGCAGACATGAAAATAAAAGTTTTTTATTTCATAAAGGCCCTGCCTGCTATGTGAGTTTATGGCTTAAAACTGAAGGGTTCTTCGAGCTCTAATTCCATTGATAAAAATGAATATTAGGAACATCTTGCAAAAATTATACAGCTGGAGATTATTAAAACAGGATACACACAGGGAAGAGATCATACATTTCTAGGGTTTGCATTTTTAAGATAATATTTATGAATATGGGTTCTTTCTAGTATAATAATTAAATTATTTAGAAATGCTTTTCCTCCCCTTTTTTTTCAAAAGTTGTCCCTGCTTTTACTGTGGAAAGTTTAAAGACATTTTCATTCAATTACAATATGCTATGTATTTTTCAAAATAATTTATACTATGTTATTCTCTTCTCCAAAAGATAGTTATTTACATGGGTGCCATACAGTAACACAATGTAATCAGTCATCCCTGATATGAAGTGGTGATACACAATTATTTAATGCAAAACTAACAAGTAACAAACATCCAAAGGTAAGAAGAAATGATACTTTTTCCCAAATTCATGTCTGACAATTTATTAAGGATGGACATGTGATTTAGAGTGTCTTTAAAATACAAGATAAGACAATATGCATAAATCCCTTCTATTATGCAATATTCAGCTGCAGTGGTATGGAGTGTGTGCTAATGGATATGTATTGAATCCAGAAACCCAAAGAACCCTTGTCTGTTCAGGGAGCAGCTCCCTGCAGAGAGGTTAGACCATGATGAACTTCCTGGCTAACAGACAGGCATCAATGAACCCTTCAGCAGCCAACATTGTTACAGAGACCAGTTCAATGTCAGGGACAGCCACGGCACAGGTTCTAGGGAAGGAAAAAAGCCCATAATCCAAATGCACAGATTAGTATTTAAACATGGTAAGAAAAAGTCAGCTAAATCAAATGCCTGATGTGTGCAAACATTTTTAAAAACAGACCTCAAGAGAGTCACAATTAAGAGTGTCAATCAAAGCTGACAAGGACCCTAGTTCAAAGCAAAATGAGCTAATTAGGCAGTGGTGATTGTTAATATTCCATAACACTGCTGCACAAAAGAGGCATCTGAGAAACACAGACAGGTACTGCCCAAACTCAGAGCAGGCAGAGGCTGCAGTGGTGTCACTTGCCACTGACCACTGGGGGCAGCCAGCAGCTGTACAGGGTCTGGAAGCCAAGTGCAACACAACCATTGCTAAAAATGTTTTTCAAAGCTCTTTGATTTTTTTGGAGAGCTTTAGTGCTTTATATGAAGGCTTGGTTACCTTTAGAGCTTTTCTTTTCTAAATATAACTGCTCAAACTTTTAGAACAAAAAACCAGAAAATTTAATGACATAAAGGAAAAAAAAAAGTCATTAAATCTCATTTTTAAAGGAACACAAAGTAATAATGTTATTGCTAAACAATTTAACAATTTCCTCATTAAAAATCGTTAGTTAAGTTACACACTAGCAAAAACAAGATCTTGAATTTTAGGTTGAAGCCAGCTACAAACCAGCAAATTTGTCCCTCAGAGCTCTTTTTTACTACAAAAAAAAGCCCCAAATATTTCTTCATTTTCCCCATCCAGAAATATACTGCTGAACTAAATTTTGTTTTAATTTTGTCATATTTAATTATTAATGGGAAAGCTGAAGTTCTTGTGTAGTTCTGTCTGACCGGCACATCCAGGGATCATAGTAATAAATAGTCCAGCTCTGGATTTCAGTGTAATGTTTTCAACAAGAAGTACAAATCTGCTAAAAGAAAGATGACACAAAGAATTGTTAAAAGAAAGATATTACTTACAAAAAAAAAAAATTTACTAGACCTTAGCAAGCAGAGGTATTTCACTGGTAAGCATCAGCTTTTAGTAATCTGTCTGGCACTGAATTCAGAAGGAAAACACTGGACTAGTAGAGCCACAGAGAGTGCAAGTGGCTGAAGCATGTCTATAGGAAGAATCATACTTTGAAACACAGAATAAAGAGTAGTAGAGATACAGAGGGTTTGAAAAGGCCAGGAGACAATATTAGGTAAAAAAGAAAACAAAATGGAGAAGAGTGAACATAGAACAGTGGAAAAACAAGGCATGTCTCAAAAGTGCTGGAAAGTCCTGGAACCACTGAGACTTCTTGCAAAGTTGAATCCCTCCAAACTTCTCACCTATAGGATACCTTGATCCACATGCTAGCACTTGAACTGGTTTCAACAGCAAAACTTCAATTATAATCTGGTAGGACCAGGATTTATTCACATCTATTCCTGCAGTTTGAAGAGAAATTTATTTTTGGGTAGTGCATTACACAGATGATTTTGTGTTACCATCTAGTCTTTAATTTACAAATAGTTTCAGAGGAACTTTGGAGGAAGATATTACTGGTTCAGTATTTATAGCCTGCAAAGCACAAAGAAGCAGTCCTAGCACATTCATTTCTTTTTCTTCCTAATTTTATCATGGATAGGCTTTATTTGTAATGCCACGACTGACTAGACTTCTTCCAAGAGATGACTGAATTCTCCAAAGCAACCTCAAATCTCCTGTCTGTACCAAACCTTTACAGATGTTCCCTAAAGACTAAAATTAAAAGACTTAATATCTTTTTCTTGAAAGCAGCAATTTCCAATGTAATTCACATGAAAAAAGTTAAACAACAATCTCCATACTGCTTGACAGAACATCTCACCCCATCATCCATGTGTTCTGAATAGTTGAAAATTTTCACAATCATACCAAGAGCACAGCCTAAATCTTCCATGGTCTCTGTGCCAGCTGGTCCTGCAGAAGCGCCACTTACTGCTAGGTGGAGAGCATTTGTTGGACAGTAACAGAACACCTTAACATATTAAAAAGGATTTTTTTGATTGCAATGAACTTCTACAATATCAGGAGCTTTTTTATAACTCTTATGTTTCATGGATGATTTATTCCAAGTCCACTTTCTCATTATAATTTAATGTCCTAAACCACAAATGTACCTCTTCCATATTTATGTAAAATCGTGGTGTGGTGCTACTTGGAAGGTGCTTATTTTAGAAAAGAAAACTAACTACATCAATATTTTTTATCAAGAAGGAGGATCCTGTCAGTGCTCACATAGGACAGGAAACAGGAGGCTGTAGTTGCTGCTTTGCTTATTTCAAAGACTTGAACCCCAGAATTTGGCCTCCTAGCTGAGGGTTGTAAGCATTAAGCTAGCCAAGATATGAAAAAAAAAATAGTGGTTTGGTCTTTCACAAATGAAAAAAAACTTTTCTGAAAACTCCTGATTAACCTTGGCAAAGATCTGGTCATATCACCTTTCAGACTAGACAATGATTAGATAGCATAACTCATGCAAAAAAAAAAAAAAAATCATACCATTTCTTTAGTATGTGCACCTACGTACACATAGATTCTGAAATATATTGTGTCTTTATAACCTCATAGATATACCTATGAGGTAGGAAAGAACTCTGAATTTCTAAGAAACTTTTGACTTTTCATTCCTGAAACAGATATAGCAGGCACTGTTATTTATAGCAGTCATTACCTGTCAGTCAAAGCTGCAATAACTTGCCAAAGGGTATTTCCCAAGTACTCATTACAGTACTGAAACTGAGCATCATAAACGTTGGCAGAACTGTTTCTGGACATCATCCCATCTATGGCATACCTGTGACAGCAAGCAAAAGCTCTGGAACTGGAGACCTAAGAGGCACCAAAGAGTCGTGATGCCAGGTAGGAGCTATTCAGGTGGCACAAATCCACCCATCACAAAGCTGCAGCTGTCATCAGCAGGTCTCACACCCCATTCCTAGCCACTTATGACTAATAACTACTAAAATCTATTATAAAGGATTAGATGTACCTCGAGGCATTTGTGCTTTTATACAGATGAAAATGTAATAGAAGGTAATTTTAATAGAGCTATTACAGCAGAACATGAGGCCTCTCCATACAAACAAGGCAGTCTTTGCAAGGGAGCTGACATTACTTTG